AAATAATTGTCGTAAGAAGGTTTTAATAAATATGTCTCAAGAAATAGAAAATTCATCAATCATTATTAATAACGAATAAAATGAATCTGGATACATTTTTGATGCTTTAATCAACAAAAATAACATTAATAAAGATGCTATAAAAAAATCAAATTTTAAACTATCAGAAAAACATAATTTTAAAAATAACTCATTAAAAAATTTCTTTTCTAGAAAAAATATTATATATTATGGAAAAATTATAGGAGAAGAAGCAATACTTATAGAATCAACTCAAGGAAATATTATTATACCCACAATAAATAAACAACAAATTAGAAATAGATTATCTAATATTAAAGAAGTAGATAGAATAAAAATTACTTATATTCATATATCAACTATTCAAGTAATTTTAAAAAGTACTTTTAGCGATTTAGATACACCAATAGAATGAGAAATCAGAGATGATCGTATAGTTAATAATCAAGAAAGTATTATTGCAAAAGGAAAAAGTAATTTAATTGAAGGAAAAATAAAATTTGATATTAATATTCAACTAGGATTAAGTCTTAAAGATAAAAATCTAAGTAATAGTATTACTGTACGATATAAATTATTAAGACAAAATTTTATGTTAAAAGGTAATCATCCGTTTACTATTACATATCAAATAAATTATGCATTAACAAATTCTCATCATAGTATTACATTTAAAACAGAAGATATAATTTATATAGATAAATTATTTACCCTTTATTATCACTTGAATCACCAAATATGACTAATAACAGAATATTTAATGAAACTAATTTTCAACCAATAATAACTAATCCGTTAATAAAAAAAAGTCCAATTATAGAACCTCCAATTTCAACTATAACAGTTAGATCCTCCATCTCGGAATGTCAACCTACAACATCTACTGAAAATCAAAATGAAAAATTAGAAGATATTAAAGAAATGATTAGATCATTAAGTTTAAGAATATGACAGAATCATATAGTAATTCTTTAAAATATTTTAAAACACTTGAAGATTCATATCAAAATACAAAACCATGCATACCAGATAAAGAAATGATTATAGAAATACCGTAAAATTTACCACAAGGAACAATATATAATATTGGTCTTAATTCTGAAGAAGATAAATCAATAGGAGATAAATTAAATATAATTAGTCAAAAACTAAATAATATTATAGAAGTAGAAAGTTTACTTGTATTAAAACAAATTCCTGAACTATTACAAAGTTTAACTCAACATAAAATATTACTTGAAAAATATTTAAAAATAAAAACTACTAAAGAAGAACCACTTTAATGAAAAACCATTACTTAAAGAAAAACCACTTACTATTAAACGACCATTCACATGGTAAGATAAAAATTATGAGTAATAAAACCCAAGTATACTGTATTTACGATAATAAATATAAAGTTAATCTACTTAAAAAATTATGGAAAGATTTAGAAAACTCTACAAAACATTTAAAAGAAAAAGAATCTGAAATACATAAATTAACCTCTAAAAACAAGAATTATACGGCATATCAATTAGTTAAAATTGGAAGATTAAAAATTGAAATTAATCATTTTAAAATAGTAATAAAAAATATTAACAATTCAATTAATTTTCTTTTCAGACGCTTTAATAATTTGTTAAAATGAATTCAAAAGTACAAGTTAATTCTTCAAAAGACAACATGCTTTGGACTAATATATTAAAAAACCATAGGAAAATAAATTTTAATATCTCTAATACCATTCAACATTTAGAAAATGCTTTATCATATGAAGAAAACTATTTATTAAAATTACAATCAGTAAATGAAGAACATAATAATCAATTAAAAAAAATATCCAGATTACAAGAAGGAATTAAGAAATACAAAAAATCACAAAATCGTAATTTAAAAACAATACACAATGTTTCAACCACTCTAACAAACACAACTTGTTGATATGAAAACTTTGCAAGAAAAAATAAAAACACAAATATAGAAATTTATAAACTGACTCTAATGGGTAAAAGAAAAACAAATATTAACCCAAAAAGTACCTTTATTACAACTAAAATACAAGATAAAGAATTAGTTTCGTATATAGATACAGGAGCTACTTTATGTTTTGGAAGAAGAAAAATATTAAAAAATTGGGAAAAATTAGAAAAACCATTAAAAATTACAATTGCTGATAAATCAATTCACAAAATTTGGTTCGTAGGAAGAGACATAGATATAGTAATTAAAAAGGCACCATTTAAAACTCCAACTATATATCAACATGATTCAGGAATAGATTTAGTAATAGGAAATAATTTCCTTAAATTATATCAACCATTTATACAAACAAATGATCATATAAGTCTCAATCATCCGACAAAAGGTATTATGAAAACTGCAATTATCAAACATTATGATCTTATTAAAATAATCAAACAAGAAGTTGGTTTTCAACTACGCATATTACTAACATTTGCTAAAGAAATTGCTGAAAAACAACTTGAAGAAGTATGTAGCGAAAACCCGCTAGATCATTTAAAAAATAGAAATAATCAAGAAATAATAATATTATTAAAACACCCTAATGATGAAGTTAATGTTCCAAATAAAATTTCATATAGTATAAAAGATGTTTCTGAATTCAAACAGGAATGCACTGAACTATTAGAAAAAAGAATCATTCGACCTAGCACGGGTCTTCATTCTGCACCTGCATTCTATGTAGAAAATAATAATGAAATAAAACGAGGCAAACGAAGAATGGTAATTAATTATAAAAAGATGAATGATGCTACTATATGAGATTCATATAAATTACCACGAAAAGAATATATTTTAGAAAAAATAAAATGAAATACATTTTTAGTACATTTGATGCAAAATCCGGATATTGGCAATTACGCTTACATGAAAATACGAAACCACTAACCGCTTTTTCATGTCCTCCTCAGAAGCATTATGAATGGAGAAAATGGTCAATTATCGTTAACAATTGGAGAAAATGGTCAATTATCGTTAACAATTGGATTAGTTTTATCAAAAAAAAAATCAAAACTTTTTCAATCTACAGTTGAATATCTCGGTTTAAAAATTGGAGAAAATGGTCAATTATCGTTAACAGACAATATACGAGAAAAATTAAATATGTTTCCTGATAAACTTGAAAATAGAAAACAAATACAACGATTTCTTGGTTGTTTAAATTATATTGCAGAACAAGGATTTTTGAAAAACTTAGCAAAAGAAAGAAAAGTTTTACAAAAGAAAATATCAGAAAAAATTTCTTGGTCTTGGACCAATACAGATACTATTTTGGTACAAAGTATAAAACAAAAAATTCAAATTCTCCCCACTTTATATAATGCAAAAATCGACGATTTTCTAATTGTGTAGACAGATGCATCACAAGACACTTGGGCAGGATGCCTAAAAACAATTATACGTGGAAAAGTATTATTGAGATTAGATAGTGAGGGAAACCTCATATCTAACTCATCAAAAGTATACAATGATAAAGCATACACTGGTATGAAAATATCATCCGAAGTAAACAATGATAAAGTATACAGTGATATGAAAATATCACCAAAAGCATACACTGATACGGATGTATCCTCTGAAGTATTAAAAACAGATAAATATGAGCAAAAACTATGCAAGTATATATCGGGAACATTTTCCCAAACGGATGATTACCTTTTAACATAAAATTTTGTCTTAATAATTTATATCGTACAGTAATACTATTACTTAGATTTTTATTTTTAAGACTTAATCCTAGTTGAATATTAATATCAAATTTTATTTTTCCTTCAATTAAATTACCTTTTCCTTTTGCCTAAATTACATTTTCCTTTTGCAATAATACTTTCTTGATTATTAACTATCCGATCATCTCTGATTTCTAATTCTATTGGTGTATCTAAATCACTAAAAATACTTTTTAAAATTACTTAAATAGTTGATATATGAATATAAGCAATTTTTATTATATCTACTTCTTTAATATTAGATAATCTATTTCTCATTCCCTTTTTATACAGCTCTCTCTCCCTTTCTATTTCTTCTTTCTTGCGATGTGGGATCACATTAGACTGCATATTTGATATTTCCACTGAAACTCTTTTCCTTCAGCACCTTTGCAGAAACTCTTTTTCTTTCGACACCTTTGCTTTTAAAATGAAAGCATCAATCGAAATGCATTGACAAAATTTTCAAAGATTTCACATATTGGTTCCTTTAAAAAAATATTCTTCATCTCCAATAAACAGGCAAAATCTTCTTTAATGATTATTGTTATAAGCCAGAGAACACAACAAATAAAACTCAGAAACAAAATAATATTTTTACCTGTCAACTATTGACTGTAATGTCATTTTAACTTCTTATTTTTAGATTTATTTTATTTTATTTTTTTCGTTTGACAAAGAGCAGGAATCATCTGGTGATAAGCATTAGCTCATTGTGATTTAAGGAGTTCTTCAGCTCGATCATGATTGATGAGATTTCATAAGAGTTTGATACAACATGTCAATGAATTGATTATCCTTGGAGTAGCTTTCATAAGAGTTTGATACAAATCTATTTGCTTATAGTCAAGAAAATCAATACAAATCCATAACATGTTAGTACCTAATTAGAGACACTTGTGTGAATAATAAAGATTAAAGATTTATTCTCATACAAGCATTTATCATCATGAACTTATTATTACAACTAAAATATATATATATATAATATATATATATATATATATATATATATATATATATATATATATGAGATCGGACATAAAGATCCACATTCCACATTCTAATCATTTGAGGGTGCTAAAAACCCAACAATTTAACTACTTTTGAACAGGTTAAATGAAATGTAAGAGTTTAAAATTATTTGTGTTACAAGTTCAATAAAAAACCAATGTATTCTAGTTATAAATTCATAATTATACATCAGTATTCTAATCAAATTAGTTAACATATATTATTAACTTGAATCAAGAGAACAAATAATGTAAGCCTTTATAATTGTTACTGATGATTTATGCTATAGATAATTTGATAACATGTAATCGATAAAAATATACAATTTTGGCTCCATTATGGATGTAATTTCCAGCCACGTTCAGCAAGTGCTTTTATCACATGCTCAGCTGCTTTTGATGTGTCTCTTAATGGAGGATAGATCCATGTTTCAGTTATCTGTAAATTGTAACACCATGAAATAAAATACAATTGATCGAGGGTATAGATGTCTTTTTGCCCTTTGCTATTTAAGTGATCATATTGTGTTTCAACTTACGTTCTCTTTCCCAGTGAATGGTCTCACCATCCCTCTTTCTTGCAGACATTTATGAAAATAGGAAAACTTCCATGTACACCTCTCGGTTCCAATTACATAAACAGGCTTCCTGGAATGTAAAAGAAGAAAAAGGAGTAAATTACCATTTTACCCTTCTGTCTACAAGTGATATTGCTTAGGAGTGTAATTGTATTACCGGTTTTCCCTTATGTCTACAAGTGTTGCTGGATTAAAAAAAAAATCATTTTTGGACTGAATGAGAGTAAATGACTATTTTACCCTTCTGTCTACAAGTGATGCTGGACAAAAAAAAATTACATTTTTATACTGAATGAGTAAATGACCATTTTGCCCTTCTGTCTACAAGTGATATTGCTTTGGCGTGTAATTGTATTACCAGTTTCCCTCATGTCTACAAGTGATGCTGGATTAAAAAAAAATCATTTTTGGACTGAATGAGAGTAAATGACCATTTTACCCTTCTGTCTACAAGTGATGCTGGATAAAAAAAATTACATTTTTTTTACTGAATGAGAGTAAATGACCATTTTACCCTTCTTCCCACAAGTGATGCTGCATGAGAGTAAATTACCATTTTACCCTTATGTCTACAAGTGATGTTGCAGGAGTAAATGACCATTTTACCCTTATGTCTACAAGTGATTGCTTAAAAGTGTATAACCAGTTTTCCCATCTGTCTACAATTGATGCTGGATAAAAAAAATTACATTTTTGTAGTGGATGAGTAAATGACCATTTTACCCTTCTGTCTACCAGTAATGCTGGATGAATAAATGACCATTTTACCCTTCTGTCTACAAGTGATATTGCTTAGAAGTATATTACCAGTTTTCCATTATGTCTACAAGTAAATTGACATTTTTGGACTGAATGAGAGTAAATGACCATTTTACCCTTCTGCCTTAATTAAGAGACTTACCCGGTAGTGCAAGCCTCACTTATCATGCTGACTGAATCAGCAGTGATGAGAAAAGCATCAGCCAAAGCTAAATGTCCCATGTGTGGATTTCGATCTACACAAACACAACAAAATATATGAAAAGGGCATTCACGTCTTTTTCACAAAAGAAATATCAAGATTCAAGAGCAAGTCCTTGTCCCACTCCCACCTTTTCCATCCCAGATATAAACCTTAGGATGGTTACAAAATTCCTTTACCAACATCTCAGACACCTGTAATTTGGTAAAAAATTATTCATACATATATAAAAAATAAAAAATTAGTATATTATATGATTAAAAAATATATATACATAAAAATATACCTGGTGTGGGGTTCTTCTAGAAAATGAAATTCTAACACTCCCACAACTTGGAAGAACATTCATTAATGATGTTGTTAACTCTCTAGCAAGGTCACCACCATATCTGCAGTGACCTATAATAAAACAATAAATTAATTTTTTTTACAAAAAATAAAAAGATTAAAACTCACGAATAGGTCCTCCAATGTTGACCACAAGCAAGGGTTTTGACAATAAAGCCAGCTCATCATGAAAAGTTGAAGCTGCATGTTGTAATGCAGCTGAATCAACTTGATGAAGGGCTCCAAGTGTTAGCATCTAGGATTGCATTTGCATATAAAAATAATATTTTGGAATTAAAATTTAAGTTATTATTTATTAAATTATTATGCATGAGGATGAGGATTTCAAGAAAAAATGTTACTCACCACATTTTTTCCTTGATTGGGAGTAATTAATCCATGAAGAAACCATGGAATATGTTTCTTTCCTTCAGGAGTGAGTGGATAATAATCATGATGAGGTGTAATTATCAAATCAAATCTATTTAGATTTGATCTTGGGTGTTGTATCTATAACAATAATAGAATCATAGATGTGGTATTTTTCAATTTTGGTCCCAAAAAGTTTTCTCTTTTGCAATTTTGATACTTATTTGAGGTTTTTGTAACGTTTTTTGTCCCTGTTTAAGTGGGGAGCAAAATTGCATAAACTAACTATACGTTTTACTTGGAACAGGGACCAAAAACGTTACAAGATTCTAAATTAAGGACCAAAATTGTAAAAAAAAGTAATTTACTTTACAATTTACAAATAAAAGATGCACAATCAAACCTGTATAGTGAAAACATGGTCTGGAGCTAACCGTTTAATTGAAGTTGCAACAGAGATTGTATCACGCCCAGATGCAACAACCAATAATGGACCATTTCTATCAAAAAAAGAAACAAATTGGATGTTAAAAACATGATTTTAAATTTAATAATGATGATATATTTTGATATGACCTCAAAGAAGAAAGAAAGAAAGAAAGAATACTTTTCAAAAGTCTCTATAGCATTGGTTGCAATTAGGTCAGCATCAGCTTCCAAGATTTCTGATTGATCTATAAACATTAGGATCATAAGACATTTGTTCCCTAAAATATCATCTACAGAAACGTATTGATATGAAAGAAAATGATTTCCGATCTGATGAATCTGTTATTTATTGTAATTTATAGACATATAACAAAATCTAGAGTGTGCTACCTGTTCTTGCAACTGATTTCTTCCCATGACTAGAAATAATCGACTGTGGATCAAAGATTTGGCTTTTTAATCGATCTAATCTTTTGTGGGTAGAAACAGGGAGGAAATTAAGCCACTTATTGATCCCATTTTTTGGCCTATGAACACGCTGTTCAAACAATGAGAACAAATCGGCGTACAAAGTGTTAACGATTTCTTGTAATGATGTCAAATAACAACGAGAAATAGGTTATGAAATGTGCCAATTCGATGTTTAATATGTTCAAACTCATTTGATGCGAATGCATATCGACAAAATGGCTTGACAAATGTAATGATCTCGATGATGCAGAAGCTTGTATTAACATGAGAAGTCGAAATTGATAATTTTTTCCGTTTTTTGGGGCTCAAAACAGAAGTAATGAAGCATACGAATGATAAACGCTTACATACAAAGAAAGCCGATGAGATAGACCCAATGCTCGAACCAATCCAAAACACTGATTCTCAGCTCCGGCGAAACCATTTCCGATTATAACAGCTCGTCTAACAGTTCTGTGCATATTTTAGTGTGTATGTAATGGAGGGAGTTGAGGTTTTGCTAGGGTTTTAGTTACAGCAGGTTCCTCCATCGGGAGGACGATCGGATCCGGGTGGATACGACCCTTTTAGAGTCGGGTGGGTTTTTGGATTTAGTATAAAAGATTAAAAGTTTATATAGTTATATCATACTAAATAACTAATCACGCTTTGATTATATTTAGGGGTATTAATTATCGACACCCGCATAACATGAATCCGACAAGAATATAAACTGGTTTGGATTGAATTTTCTTGAACCGTCAACCTATTTATTATGTGACCGTGTTCGGGTTTGCAAATAATTCTACAGGACAACTTGTTTATAACTTATTTTTATTCTTTCAAAAAATGTTTATTAAGTTATGCATGATATTAAAATTGAGTTTATGAAAATATAAAATGATTCAATTAACTTATATGATACCATACAATAAGTGATAAGTTGATTTTTAGTTTTTAAAATGTTTGGTTATACAATGTAAAACGAAGTTTTGCAAAAAAAAAAACTAAAATGTTCATGAACTAATTTTTGTGCATGGTATAAACTTAATGCAATTTTTCCATTTAGATCACTTTGTGAAAGTGAAGGGGTAAATCGGTTTCTTTGAATATATGTAATCTGGCTTTGAGAAAGTCAAAGGTTTTGCTTAAGTGTATGCTTATGGGTACAATGAAAGGTTAAGTATGCCCTTTCGCTTCGTGTTCTCGTCTTCTACTGCACTTAAGAGCTTGAACTAGAATCCTAATCGATCACTTTGCCTTTCCTTGCACGAACCTTAATCAATCACTTTCTCAAACCCTAATTTATCTAAAAATATGATACGTGAGAGACCAATCGGCAATAGAGTTTAGATATCAAGCAATGAAGTAGGCTTCAAAGAAATTTACTACCAAGCAAACAACATCTCCCGTTTTCACCAATGTCTAACTTGTGCAGTAAACCTTATTCCTGAAGTATGGTTGTGTGTTACATCGAGAGTTTGTGTTGGTCAACCCAATCAAATCGATTCCTCCACAAATTATGATGGCTAAGTTTTCTACCGGAGATATCGTGGATGCAAACTACAAGGATGGTGTGAGTGAGGAAAACTCTTCGGAAAATAGGACAAAAATACAGTCTGTTTCCAACATCCAATTGAAGATTTTTTTTTTCTCCCTTTGGAGATGCTAAGGCTCCATCAAGAATGAGACAATGACATTTGGGTTTATTTCAAAAAATAGTTTGTGTTATTGCTTACATTTTGCTATTAATAATGGTTGGATTTTGTTAAGTTTGATAAGTTTATGTGGACTAAAAGAGCATGTGTTAAGTTATATAGAAATTTGCTAATGTAATTGGATTTTGATAAGTTATCTTGAATTTGATTATTCTATCTTTGATTTGTATAAGTTATGTGCGGACTAAAAGATCATATGTTAATAATGTCATTAATTCAAGCTTGATATGTATTAGTAATGTAATTGATTCGAAATGATTATGTTAAGCTTGATAAGCTACATCTATTAGTAATGTGATTGTCTGCATTTGAGTATGATTGTTTGAATTTGAGTAATGTGAAGGTCTGAATTAAGTCAATCAAATTGATTGGATTATGGTCCCAATAGAGTAAATGAAAGAATCCTACCTATTGGTGAATGAGTTTTAGTGGTATGTTATTTTAGTGTCAAAATATTATTGTTCATGAAGTGTTCATGGGTATTTATTGATCTTGAAATCAAATGAAAGAATCCAATCACAATTGATATGAATTTATTATATTAACCTTGATAAGTTACATATATGTTAAATTACAATTGCTCTAAATTGATTTTGTTAAGCTTGATATGTATTAGTAATGTAACTGATTATAATTCATTATGTTGACTGTCTGAGTTTGAGTAATGTGATAATCCTATCACAATTGTTCTAAAATGGTTTTGTTCAAGAAAGAAAATTGGATGTGGGAAAGGTCGATGGAATTTACTGATAGGGTGGTTGTCAGGAAAAGGATTAAGGTGATGTTTTCATTATTTTATAATAGCTCTGAATTGGGGTTTATTCAAGAAAGAAAAAATGGATGTGTGACAAGGTTGCCAAAAATTACTAATAGGATGGTTGTCTGAAGAAAGGAGATGGAGGTTGCAAAAATTTACTTGAGTTGCATGGTGAATGGTGGTGGTGACTCGGAATATATGGACGCTGATGTTAGAATAAAACAATTTATAAAATACTATTTATGTAATTCAATAAATATTTTTGTTTTATTTAATAATTAATACAAACAATAAAAAAAATATTATCGGCATCAAACTCCAATCGACTATGTATTTACAACATTTTTAAACTTAAAAATTATATTGCTTTTTGACAAATTAGTACTTTTTAAATTTTTATTTAAATTCTCATACTATCCACAAATTCTTCTTGTTACAATGATGTGAAGAAACATGCTCAACAGGCATAAAAAAACTTATCACCTCAAAGCTAACCTATTTAAATATTTTTATAAGGCATAAAAAACTTCACTAAAAACAAAAACATTTGGACTATGATATTTGGCAGGGGCTGCGCGAACGCAAGCCCCCACTGGCACAAATTATGATGTAGGCTCGACCACTTGGGCCGACCTTAAGTTAGCACCCATCCGAAGTGCAATGGAAGTCACTAACCTAGGCCATGGTCCATCTTGACCAACCATTGACCCCATCCAGGTAAGTAAGTAATCCGTTTGCCTCGTGCTTATTTTATACAGCTAACTCTCCCTTTCTTTTTCTTATTACTGGCGATGTGGGATTACATTAAAGCTCATATTCCATTCCAAATACAACTCTGACCTCTCGTAATCTTTCACACCTTTTACTTTGAAGACATCATTTTTGTTTAATGAATAAATGATTATTATCCTGTGTGAAACAAAACAAAAGATTAAATTAATACAGGCTTATATAAGCCAGAATAAAAATATATGAATAACATCAAGCTGAAAACGAAGACATACATTTAAATGTCTACTCCTGAGTCCTGACTCCTGACTATAATACATATTTTTTGCTTTCTTTAAATGAGAACTTTACTTTATGGAAAAGCATTAATAGTTGTCTAATAGGGGTGAGCATGGTACGGTTTGGTGCTGTTTTAAGGCCAAACCGAACCGCAAACCGTATGGTGCGGTTTTTGCATTCTTAAAACCGTTGGGTGCGGTTTTGCAACGGTTCGATTTTACGGTTTTTAAATGCGGTTTCGGTTTGTATCGGTGTGGTTTCGGTTTTAAGCCGTGTCTAAACTTTGGTGCAGATTTTTATGTTTATTGGTACAGTTTTTTAAAAACGTAAGAACATGTGACTACTCTCACAAAAATACATAATCAAAACTTGTAACTGAATTAAAATACAACATGTGACTACTCTCACAAACTAATTAATAATTGAAGGTTGGTTAACTTTGTCTTAATTTGTTACAATCTTATTACACATATCGATTAGTACGTTTGGCTAACAATAGAAAATTTCTTTTGCACCCCATATAATCTTACACAAAAGCAAAGTAAACATATAACAAATATATTATCGTTTATAAGTATTTTAAATAGCATGCATATAATATATACTAATTGAATTATTAATATACATGCTTGCGGTGCGGTTCGGTTTTGGTGGACCGGTTTTTTGGATAAAAACCGCACCGCGCCGTTGACCTTCGGTTTTTGCAAAAATTAAATCCGCACCATTGGTTTTTGCATCGGTTTCGGTTTTCGGTTGCGGTTTTGCCGGTTTTTCTTTAGTCGGTTCGGTTTTTGCTCACCTCTATTGTCTAATGATAAACATGAACACTATTTGATTTCAACCACAATTGAACTTCTATCTTTATCAAAACTAGATGTTGAATTTGTGTCAGACTTCTTGAACTTTGATAATTTATCAACAAGAGGTTGTGATTACAGCTAAAACACATTGAACCATTTGAGTTTACTAATAACACAAGAATGTCAAATACTTTTGAATAAGACAAAAGACAAATGAAATGCAAAGGTTTGATCACTAAAAAAATTGAAAACCTTGATTGATAAATGGTGAAAGTACGTTGTGTTTTTATGTATTTTTCTCTAGCCTAAATAGATAACATCATGCATGTGATTGCCATCGATGCTCGGCTACCGTAGTTGTGTCCTGTAATGGAGGATGCATCCATGTTTCACTTATCTGTAAACAATAACACACCAAACACACAATTTTAAATTAAATACAATTTGTCGAGGGTATTAGTGTCTTTTCCCATTGCTATCGAAGTGTTAGGGAGGTTTTAAGTTATCATATCGTGTTTCTTTGTACACTTACATTCCCTTTACTCTTGTAGGCATTTACGAAAGTATGCAAACATCCATATACACTTTTTTGCTCCAGTCACATAAACTATAGGTTTTTGGAACATGAAAAAGTAAGAAAGGAAAGAAAAAAAAACACGGTAAATGACTGTTTTACTCTTTTCTCTACGGTGTATAGTATGTTGAATAATAGTAAATTACCACTTTACCCTTCTGTTTGCAAATGATGATATATAAAAAATGATTTTATCGTTGGACTGAATAAGAAAAATATCATTTTACCCTTGTGTCTACAAGTGTTGCTAAATAAAAGTAAACGATTATTTTACCCTTCTGTCAACAATGTAAAAAACTATTTTTTTTGGCCGAATGCAGCGTCTAAATTTAATCTAAATAAAAGTAAATTACCATTTTTGTCAACAAGTGATGTTGAATAAATTATTGTCGCTAATTTGAGATACATTATAAATTAAAATTGTTAAGATGTTGAAGAGCAGAAGAGGTTTGAGACACAATAGAGCAAGCCTCATTCAGTGATGACAAAAGCATTCGGTAATGATTGTATTATTAAAGCCGTGAAAAGTCATCATCATACAAGAAAACAAGTGAAAACTGTAGATTTAGCTTTACGTTTTCAGAAAGAAAAAATAAAATATTGAAAACCCGTAATAAAAAAAAATATTACGGTTTGTTTTAAGACCTAAACGTCATAAACATATGGGAAAACCTAAGGGGGTGTTTGGCTAAGCTTATTTAAGACTTATTTTCCGAGCTTATTTCTTATAAACTAATTTTTTTTTAACTT